GGGCTGGCGGCGGGCCAGCGCCCCCTCCCTAGCATGCGCACCGCGGCGGCGGGCGGCGCGGAGCGGCGGCCCCAGAAGCCGCGCAGTCGGGCGGCGGCACCTGCCTGCGGAGGTACGTGGCGCAGTCCCCCCATCGGCGTAGCGGGGACTGGGGACCCAGGCGGCGGCGGTCAGCCTCAGCCCACTCCTCTTCGAGGCCCGGGCGGCTCGGTGTCACCCCTGGTGAGCAGCAGAGAGCCCTGCACCCCCAGACGCGCCTGCACGGGGACGTAGGCGGAGGGTCGTGGCTCCGGGCCGCGTAGACCCGGCGCCCCGCAAGCGGCGCAGGTGTGGACGCGGCGGGGCGGGTGAGGACAAACGGTCGGACGGCAGATCCAGCCAAGGTGGCCCGCTTCCCCAGCGGCTCGGGGGTTTTAATTCATGGCTGGAACCTTCTAAGCCAGCAGAGCCAAGTTGACTCAGTGTCCCCGCGACGGGCTTGGGGTCCCGCTGCGTGGTACTGGCGGCTCCCGAAACCTCCCTGCACATCCCAGTCGGGAGGCGTGCTGTGTGGTGTCTGCCGGTGGAAATTCGCCAGTGACCTTCCCCGCCCCCTCTCTGCGGCCAGTCCTGCGGAGCGGACACATTGGGGCGACCTTTTTGGTTCCTTGGAAATTATAAGCAGTGGCTTTTTTCAAGGAGCTGCATTCGTGGTGCGCCGTTTTTTCCTAAGTTTTCAGAGAATACGTCGTAGGAGCATAGTGAATAGAAGCAAGTTGCTGTCCCTTCTCCACACCAGCTGGGTGACCTTGGCAGACACGGTCCCCGGTGGGGGACTTGGTCTCCTGATCTGCACTGGGAGGTTTATTCCAGGCAACCTGGTTTGTGGTTCTGATCATTAAATATTATTACTGAAGAGAGTTCTGCAGAATCACTAGCTGATTGGCAATGAATTTTTTTTTTTTATCCCTTCTTAACTCAAGTATACCGGCTTTGCAAAATTAGGTGTCACTTACTTAAAAGGGAAAACTGGTTTTATGTGCAAAGTCTTCATCTGGCACCCATGGGGAGCCTGCACCTTCAGCCTAGGGATTTGCTGTTTTTTAAACTCCAAGAGGAGGGAGACTAATCTGCCCTCTGGTGTTCAGCCAAGACTTCCTTTAGTTTTTGACTAAATCCTCTTCTACCTACAGACAGAGATACACCCTGCAACTGGGAAGACCCATCAGTGTTGTATGAAAGGATTGGATAGGACAGGTTGTTGTTTCACTTGTTATCAGAACTTCACAGCTCAGAGGGGTGTCTAACATCTCTGGTGACAGAGCAGGGATTCATCTGACTTCCAACTGGTGTTTGGACAACAGATTAATGTGTGTTGTCGCTTTACACCAATGTCTGCTGTGTAGCTGCTGCTGTTTCTTCATGGCATCCATGAAGATTCTTGGTTAGGATTGATAGTGTTTTCCTTGGGGCAAGAAAAGAAATGAGATTGGGCAGAGTTTTTGTTGTTGTTGTTGTTTGTTTTATTTCTTGTTGTTGTTTGTTTTTATTTCCTTTGGTTTGGGTTTTTGAGATAGGGTCTCATGTACCCTTAGGCTGGCCTTGAACTCACTATGTAGCTGAAGCTTGTCTTGAATGCTGATCCTCTTCTGCCTCCCAAGTGCTGGAACTACAGACCTGTGCCAGCATGCCTGGCTTGAAATGGATGAAATGAGAAAGCATTAAAGGCTTCTGGAAGACTGGGCAGGGGGACTGGCAAGAAACTCTAAAAGCATAAGGTTATGATGACTTTGATATTTCTTTGAGTTTTAGCACACCTTGCTAATTTCCCTGATGTAATCAAAATAGCTCAAGTGGTGAATGTTACAGAGATAGTCAAGAAACTTCTCTTACTTGGTTTGCCTCCTCCACTCCTTCCCAGCTTGGCAGTCCTGGGCAGTGAAGGAGTTTGCAAGCTGGCTCTAGGAAGTGCACTGCAAATGAGGATCACCCTCAAAGGGTGCATTCTGTGTTGCTCATCTAGCTGAGAAAGTTTGGAATAGAAACCGCTGGGGATATACACATTAAGGGTGCAAACTCCCTAACTGCTGAGGAAGCAGGAGAAGCTAGGCCTGGATCAGTGTGCGTGGCTAAAGTTAACAAAGGCATCAACTGGAGGGGTGTGAATTACAGGCCTGGTGTGGGAGGAAGCCATAAATATGGATGGTGCTATGTGGGCTTTCTCTGGAGAGAATCAGCACAGGCACAGAGGGAGCAAGTGGGCTGTGTGAAGGAGCAGGGAAGAAATAAACTCACAGAGGCTCAAAGGCACTATATCAGTCTTGTCTGAACACCAGATTTGTGGTTTATTGTTATTGTTGTTTTAAATGTGGTGTAGGCACTTATAGCTGGGTGTGGTGATACAGGCTTGCAATTGTAATCTCAGCCCTTGGTCAGTACAGGCAGAAGGATCAAAGTTCAAGATTAGCCACTGCTATATAGCAAGTTCAACTTCAGCTTGGGCTACATGAGCCCTGTCTCAAACACACACACACACACACACACACACACACACAGTCAGCAAGTTGGCTCAGTGGGTAGAGGTACTTGCTGCTGCCAGATCTGATGACTTGAGTTTAATCCCTGAACACACATGGTAGAAGAAGACCAACTCTTAGAAGTTGTCCTTTGACCTCCACATGTGTGCTGGAGCACATACACAGACACACACTCTAAATTTTTTTAAAATTATATCTGTACAGGTACTAGAAGAATAGACATATCTATAGCATGCTCGCTCTCATTACTGATGGTGGCCATCGGGTGAATATACCACATTTATCTGCGATGATCTATTGTTGAATGTTTAGGCAGCTTCCAGTGGTTGACTGTTCCGGGTGGAGCTGCTGTCACTACTCCAGTGCCTACCTTTTGTCAGCTGTGCATTTTCTGTCTTTTGTGCATCTCTGAGGGTCTGTGCTGAACAGTGGGATTGCTGGGTTATGGGTATGTTACTCAGTTGGGGGAGCCACATGCAAAGCTATTTTATTCCAGTCTTGAAATGAATCTTGTTGGGAGTTCCTCACTACTAAATGATGAAGGTGACCATTTCCAGGCATGAAGATGACTATTTCCAGGCGTTGCTGGAGTTCCTGTAGTAGCATAGGTTTCTATCTTGCTTTGTACAACACAGAGCCCTGAGCTCCGAGACACTCTGGGGTTAAGGAAGTTTCTCTCTCTGGCCAAACTGCTTGAATTGATCTTAGCCTCCACCCATCTTGTCATAAACAAACCTCTCCCCCTGAGCTGTTCTAACATAACTTCGGGTCTGCTTCTCTGATCTGCTGTCTCTGCAGCCCACTGCATTTCTATGTAAGAGACCTAAAGGAAAAGCCCATTTCTTTTGGGGGTGTTTTGAGCTATAAAAGCCCATTTTTGTGCTTCAGTTACATCAGGGAAAGATATTTGGGATTAAGTTTTGGATAACAAGCCAACCCCTATACCCAGTGCTCTTGTTTCCCTTCAGATTTAATAACAACTGGGATTATAATAGTTAAGTATCCTGTATTTGGATTTGGTAGATTTAACAAACATAACATTTTAAAGGTCTGCTTTATGAATAATACTTAGACTTTCTGAATGGTGTGGATACTTTTTAAAATAGTTATGTATTATGTATTGTTTTTTTCAAATAGGGTTTCATGTAGCCCTGGCTGGCCTCAAACTATGTAGTCAAGGGCTGGCCTTGAATCCCTGATCCTGCCTCCCTTCCTAAAGTGCTAGGATTACAGGCATGTGCCATCATACCTAGTTAGGCTGTTTTTAACTCATCTTCATAATTACAGGCTTAATCAAGCAGGGACAGTTTTTCTGTGAGACAAATAGAGTTTCTCCTCCCTGACTGCCTTCCCTCCTCCTCAGCCTCTGTGTTTTCATCTCCTTCAGTATTGTTCTTGACCACTTTGTTTTCCATGGCAGTTGGTCCTCTTTCTTATCTGGACTGCAGCCTGCAGCTAGGGCACCAAGAGGACAGACTATCCTCCAGATAAGCCCTTCTCTTTGCTTGCTACTTCCTTTTTTTCTTTTCTTTTAGTCTTTGAAACTTTGATAGATGTACATAATATCTTTTAAATTTTATATTTTAATTATGAGCATATGTGTGTATCTGCATGTAGTTATGTGCAAGTGAGTGCAGGTGCCCTCAGAGGCCAGAGGTATTGGATCCCTGGAGTTGGAGTTATAAGTGGTTGTGTTGTGAGTTGTTTCATGTGGGTACTGAGAATGGATTGGGGTCTTTGGCAAGAGCAGCAGACTCTTAACAACTGAGCCATCTCTCCAACCCCCTATACAATGTATATTAATCACATCCCTTTCCTTCAGTTCCCCTTACCCCTACCCCTTCAATATATCTTCCTTTTAACTCTTAAGTCATTTATTTATTATTTATTTATTTATTATTTAATGTGTATGAGTGGTGTTCAGTGCTCACAGAGGCCAAAAGAGGGCCTTGAATCTCCTGGAACTGGAGTTATGGATGGTTGTTAACTGCCATGTGGGTGCTGGGTGTTAGGGTCCGTGACTCGATGGGTCCCCTCCAGATAACAAATACACGGGATTGGAGATGTAAAAATCAAGCAGAGTCTTTACTTTCCAGCTAGCTGGGGTCGACCGGCTTCCCAAGACATGCAAGTCTGGTCAGAACGATCGACCCCCATTCAGTTTCAGGTACAGATTATATAGGCCCACATAGTCATTACACAAAAAGCATTCCTCAGCAGACACTTTGATCAAACATCTTCTAAAAGCTATAGTTTCGGTTAAACATTTTTTCCAGGAAGGGTAGATCTGGTGTAAGCCTGGTGCAACTTCCCTCTCTTTGTTCCTTATCGGTTATCTGGTATGTGCAAACAGGCCTACAGGACACATTGTAAATCAACTGAGTCTGGGGTCCAGGGTCCAGGAAGGAGGTTTACAGCACTTCAATTCTTAGCATTTCAACTAGGTTAATCATCCATGTGTGGTAGATACAATCAGGCAGAACAGGCAAGCTTAGCAAGTAAATCTAAATCAACATTTTAAACAGAGTATTCTATCAAAATGCAGAGTTCTCAT